GTGTGTGTGTGTGTGTGTGTGTCCGCAGATTTTGTCCCGCACTTTCAACTCGGGAACCGTAAAAGCTAGGAAGCTCAAAATTTAGGAGGGCGTTTCTCGCTCACGTGTCCCTGCAAATTTAAATTCAGCCTCCTCGTACCCTCGGATAGCACTACGGCCTCGTAGAAGTTTTGGCGGGTAAAATTATTATCATAGGAACCACGAAAGCTAGAAGGCTGAAATTTTGTGGGTATGTCCCCCGCCCACTTACGACCCGGAAAATTTAAATTCAGCCTTTCCTTGCCCGCGGATAACACCTACGGCTCCGTAAAAAGTTTTGGTGGGGAAGTCATTATCTCCGGAATCACGGAATTTAGGAAGCTGAAATTTTAATGTAATGACCCCTTACCTACATACAACGCTGCAAATTCAAATTCAGCATTCCCGCACTCTCGGGTATTAGCTGTGACCCCATGAAAATTTTGGCGAGTAAATTATTATCTCAGAAACCAAATTTTGGAAGCCGATTTTTTAGGGCGGTGGCCTGCTGCTTATGTACGATCTTGCAAATTTAGTTTCATTGTGCTCGCACGTTCAGGCTTCATGAAAGTTTTCGCGAGGAAAATTATTATCTCGGAAGTCACGAAAGTTGGGGATCTGAAATTTTAGGGCGATGCTCCGTATCAGCGTGCGACTCACGCAATGGATGCAGCCTTCACGAACCCCTGAGTGACATGTACAACTCCGTGGAAATTTCTGTAGTGAAATTATTTCGTGAGCCGCAAAAGCTAGAAAGCTGGAATTTTAGCGTAGCATCCCCTGCCCACATATAACTCCGCAAATTTTCAACGTCCCCGTGGAAGTTTTGGTGGGAAAAATCATTATCTTGGGAGCCAGAAAGTTAGGGTGTTTTATAAACTCGAATTTATTTCCTAAGTATGCCGAGTTCACAAGACGACCAACTGAAAGTTTTGTCTCAGAGATCATTCGAAAGCCAGAAAATTAGGAGATAGAAATTTTGGAAAGATATTTATCCTTCGTGGTTTCGAATTCCGCTTTCACGTGCCGATGCGTGAAACTAACTATTTTTTGACATTCCAACTATTTATTCACAAACCAAAGTTCAAAGCAATGAAAATCATTAATAGGCAATCTTTCGGTGGACAGAATTTCACAAAACGCATGATCGCATTGGCTATTCTGGTGTGCGCTGCTATATATTTTTCCAGTCACAGTTTCGCATGACTGCGAGAAATCAAAGAGTGTAAACTAGTTTCATAAATTTTCGGCAGTTGCTAAAGCTCGGCTTGGTCGGCCGGATTTGGAGGCAACTTACAGTAGTTGTAGTCTACCGCTCTCGGATGGTGGAGTAGAGGTAGAAAGATGGAAGGGGGAGGGTCCCGAGGGTCGTTGCGGAGGGAAGGGGGACGGACATACTGAGTGGTGAGAAACCGAGATCTTGTTTGTGACGAGCATTGAGAAAAAGGCGTGGATTATGTTGGAGAAGAGAGAGGGGAGGGCTTAAGGGTTTATGATACTCAGCAAGAAGCTGAAAATTTATCATGACACTTCCTGTGAATGTGCAGCCATGGATTAGTCGATTAAACTTTACATACAGACACGTGAAAATTTAACTGAGGAACCAGACAAACAGAAGATGAAAGTTATCGGAGGATGTTTTCTGTCCATGTGCAATCTCATAAACTTAAACTCAAACCTCACAAACTCCTGCGTTACACGCACAAGCACATGAAATTATCGATGGGAAATTTCGCAACTCGAGAAGATTCCGACTGTTTTTGCAAACATAAAACTGTAAAGCGCTGAACATTCTTAAAAGCAAACGTCCGCTGGACTGCGAGGAACGTATGATCACACCACCACCCTGGCGCACGCCGCTGTTTATTTATTTAGGTAAGTTGTAAAGTATCACAGATAAGCAGTTAAATTTTCACGTGTCTGTATGTAAAGTTTAATCGAATAATCCATGGCTGCACATTCACAGGAAGTGTCATGATAAATTTTCAGCTTCCACCTTATCTGATTCCCAAGGCAAAAAATTTCCGGCCTACGCTTCTACATACCCATACGCGAGACCTGGAAAACAAAAAAGCAGGGTTAAATTTACACAGTCGTACATACATAGGCAGAAAACATCTTGCTAAAATTTCGACAGCTCAACTTTTCTTATTCCGCAGTAGTAATTTTTCCGCCGAACACTTCACATATTTGTATGTGTAGGCTGAATTAACTTTACGGATCGTACATGGATACAGAATACCCTTCTAAAACTTTAGCTTCCTAACGCTGCTAGTTCGCGAATTGCTAAATCCCTCCCAAACCTTTCACATGTCCGTGCACGAAATCCAAGTATAATTAAAAACTGGATTTAAAATCGCTGGATCGCACATGAACATGGAACACTTCCGTAAAGCTTCAAAATCTTAGATTTTATAGTTCGTGAATTAGCAAATTTTTCGCTAAATCTTTCATGTATTTATAAAAGTGGACTAGGCGTGCTCGAAACCTGAATTTAATCTGTTGAATCGCAGTCGCACTGCATTAATACAGGCAATCCCTCTACAGGATAGAATCATGTAAAAACGCGTGATCGCACCAGCAAACCTGGCGCATCGTCGTTTGGGTTGCGTCCCATACAACTGTTGAAGCACAAAACGCGAAAAAAAACTGGGACAGTCAGAAGATTTCGAACTCAGCTGCTTAGATCCGTCCGGGACTCACATACGGGCACGTGAAAATTCTGGTGGGGAGATCGCTTACTCTGAAGCGCGAAAAGTTAGAAAGTTGAAACTTTAAGGCAATGTTCAATACACATGTGCGAACAACTAACTTCAAATTTAACTCCTTATAACCGCCCGTGTCATACATACGAGCATGTGAAAGTTTTAGCAGTGAATTGCTAACTCGGGAATGAGAAAAGCTAAAAAGCTGAAACTTTAGGGAAGTGTGCGATTAAAGGATTTCGTATTCAACTCTTCTAGTGGAATCTTTTTTGCACACCACCAGCTTTCCATTTGTCGGGTCACTGAAGCCGATATCTACAGCTCATATGCCACATGGCTGCACAATTAACTTCCTGAACTTCGAGGATCAGTATGTCACAAATCCTAGCTACTGGGATTCCTTGCGATCTTGCTACAGCACTAAATAGAGCAAAAACGCATGATCGAACTGGTTGCAGCCTGGGTTGCATTTATATAATGTTCCAGCCTGGGTTGCATTTATATAATGTTCGTCGGAGCTGACTTTTAGTAACTGCTCATTTCTCTTCTCTAAATTGCGAGGGAAGGGTTGGGAATTCGCAGGTATTATTTGTCGTTGTTTACGTAATTTGGCGGATCATGTGTCACTTCGATTTAACATCAAATGTCGGAAAACTGGTTATAAGAGCATTGCGGCAAAAAGACTCACAGGTTGGAAAGTACACATGGTGCCAGTTCCTGGTAAATGCATACCAACGCGGGGAAGGAGGATTCTACTGTTGTGGGTGGTATTTTTTCTTTCTCTCATAAAGGCTGTAGTGCTAAAAACACTGTTATTACACTTAACACTTTTTGTAACAGTAAATTGACTTTTAAAGATAGGGTGTTTTTCGAGATTTTTGAAAAAATTCCGATCCTCCGTTCCCTCCGCGCCCCACTTCACCAAACCGTTTCTTTCTTTGCTTCTTCGCTCTTTTCTCAACATTTCCTTCCTCTTCCCATCAGCCTCTTTCGGGAAGAGGCTGAAATTTGCCTTCTTTTTGCTCATCTGGAAAAAAATTTTAGCCTCATTAGTGCAAAAACATTTGTCTTTGCAGGTTTAACGGCACGTGTGATCAAAGTTTCGCTGGCTTGTGCTACAATGATAGGTTCTTACGAATATTTTAAGATATCTTTTGCAAAAATGAACAACATTCATGCTGATTTAGAAGCATCTAAGCGTCAACAACGGTGAAATCCAGCATTTTCTCGTCTGCTTCATCGCTTCTAGTTCCGACTAGTTCGGCGCCAGTCTAATTGTTAACATTGCTGCACCTATTTGTTAGGAGTAGTATTTTGATGTATTATAATGCAAGCTGTTAGTTTTTCACATTTTGTTGAGTTCAAATCCATATTTTGTTACAGCCTGTTATTTTTTGGAAATAAATGAATTGTTGATGTAAATTCTCACAAACACCCACACGCGGGCAGGCACATCTGCATTCGTGGACATTACCAGCTCTTGGTTATGGCGTCTGCACGCAAAACAGTTATGAATCCACGGGAATCTGATTGCAACTAATGTACAAAATGCAACAAAACAAAACTATGCCAACAGGCTCATCGATTTCCCACACAAATATGCCATAAGTGACTGGTTTTTATGACGTACGACTCACATGGCTTAACATCAGAAATCCACTGCTCAGACATATGTTCTCCAGTCCCACTAGAAATTGAAGCCCTGGCCTTCCCTTGCGCATCACGCTAACACGGCAAATGGAATTCGGACCGGAGCGTCCAAAGTTTGCGACTTTGCTTTATTTCATAAGACAAAATGGCTATGGCGAGTTCAAATGCATGAGGTAAAACGACGTTGCCGCAGTGTTCCTGATGGTAGCAGTCCTTCGCTTAATCAACAGAACATTCCCGAGAAATATGCATGTGAGGAGACTCCAGACGCACCTTGTCAGTTTTTTTGCGTTTTGTGCTGTGTAACAGCGTTACAAAACGCATATTGTCACGGGGTTGTCTGTGTGTGT